CTGGCTCGAAACATCGGTAGGACACTACGAGTCATTGTAAAGGCCAGGCAGGTATGCATCCAGTGACCACAAGCGATGTTTGATGACGTCGCATACATGGCGCATACCGCACGGATTGATCAGCGCCGAGAGGTTTACAGTCTTTTTATTCAGCTTGAAGACTGCCGTGACTTTATGCGCAACTTCCATTCTAATTGGGTATTTCCACTTTTATGTGTAAATTATCAATTTTTTAACTCAAACATCTTTTTTGTTCCTTCTCACATTATTTTAATAAGGAATGAAATCAAAAACTAGTGAGGAACTTTCTGATGGTACTAGTGCACCCGCAAGCTCACACTTTTACTATAAAGAACAGATTTTGACTACCCGCGACTTAGACAACGGCAATATTCGAAAGCGGTCGATAAAATTCAAAAACTGCGGTAAAAAAAGCTCCTTGAACCGCTGAAGAGGTGTGTACCCAACCTGATAGTTTTAAGATTTTCTTAGAGGGCAATGCTTTTCGTACTTATATTGTCGTACTTGTCGAGTGAGATGATGATTAAGCGTCTTTGGTGAAGGAAAGAGTTTTCGATCCCAGATTTTTCAAGCACTGCAGTGGCGGTTATCTGTTTTACTGTTGTTCCGTTTCGATTAACCAATACAGATAACATAAACCTATTTAGAAATAGAACGACGACGAAGATACCACATTGGGGAGGCGAACGACAGTCGATCAACGACTCGGATAATCGGCTCTGGTGAAAACGAAGACGACAAAGCGTTAGAAGAGCAAATTCTTTTTTCAAACTCGTGTTAGCTTGACAATCATGGTTATGGACGAGGTTAAATAAGGGTCATTTTGAAAAAAGCGGGTAGCGTTTAAAGAGAGCTGTTTCCCGTATGATTGAGATTTAGATATTGGGTTGTTCCGTGTGGGGTTATAAAAGTGTTTGGATTACCACACTGCGAGTCTGTTTGGCTTTTCCAGCCTCTGAGGAAGACGAAACCGTCGTAGCGTTAACTGCTGTGGAATAAATCTTATATTAACAACCTCGTGTCCACCGAAGAAGAAAACACTAATTTATTGACCAATGCCGAGATTAATCAAAATTCGGTGCTGGCAATGATCACATGTTTATCGTAATACTGTTACAACCACTGCGCTAAATTAGGCAGCGAGAATGCCCATTGTCTTACTGGAATTTTAAATGTGTAACCTCACTCCCTATACAGCTTTAGCATCTCGATGTCATATCTCTCTACCTTTTATTTTCGGTCTGCTGGCGGAATAGAGCTTCACCGCTTAGCAGCACGAGAGGCTCATTAATAGAGGAGTACTAGCAGGCCTATCGAATCTCTCTTTATAACTCGAAAAACCGACTTTCTATAAATTTCGGCATAGATACTTGATATATTTATTTATATGGTCTTATAAACTGATTTTCTTAAGCTGATGCGAGGTTGGTACAGGTCTTCGTTGTCGTTGTCGTTATTGTTCGCCTTTCTTAAAGCCTGGACGTAATTTATATCAGAATACTTTTATTATCCGGTGGAAAAAGGTTAAAGTATTAATAGAAAACAAACTTTTAAATAAACGCCATAGTAAGGCTACTCATCGTGATGTTGCGTGTGAGACTGGCCCAAGCGTTGTTCACGTGGCGTCGCAAGCAAGACACACCCCGGGGTCAAAATATCATTTCGAAATAGGGCGCCAGGTCACTCGTGATAGTGAGGCATTCGTCTTTCCGGTTCATCTTTGGATTCTTGAAAACATCAGCAACAACGACAACGACAGCGAAGACCTGTACCAACCTCGCATCAGCCTAAGAAGATCGGTTTATAAGACCATATAAATAAGTGAATCTCTCTTTGTTGTGTAGTCCGTAGTAGTTGTTACTTTGTACGACTTTCTGTCACATTTTTTTGTCTCTTCCATGACCAACCAAGTCCAAAATTTCAACCATGAATATTTCATTAAGGTGTTCTAGTTCAGCACATCTAAGTAGAATTTGTTGGTCTCTTTCAGGTTCACTGTAATCGACAGCCCTCGAATTGTGAAAAACTACCACTGAATCTATGAATAATTCATTAAGATATTCTGGATTTACCACGTCCTATCAGTCATCGCTGGTTACGCATTTGTGGATAAATTCGAAGGATCCGAAAATGAACCGCTGGGAGTAATGCTCCGTAATCACGCGTAATCTCATATAGTATTTAAGACAGATATTTTAGTGTCCGAGGCACATTACGCTTCAATGCGACCTCTGTGGAGTTGGTCTCCACGTGACATAGCCAGCGGAAGACTTATAGGAGGCGGTAAGCGCACGAAGAAGTTCTTGTGTACTAAACGTGATTGAAATCTTGGTCTCGTACTTTCTCTGTTTGGTTATGGAGGTGTTTGGCTGGGTAGCCAACCTGGTCTTTCCGGGCCCTGGGAAGGACGAGAAAGTAGCAACCTCGTGTTTGCTCATCAAGAAAACATTGAGTGGTCCGATCAATGTCAAGGTTCATAGAAATTCGGTAGTGGGAAATTTCATCAGACCCTGAATTCACCTACCTGTTAAATTTAGTCGTTCATTGGCTGCATTTAAATTTACCTCTAATCGCGTCATCTTAGAGGAAGCTATGTGGGTTTACTAACCGGATTCATTTGCGTGGACGATTAATGGATACAGGACGGCATAGAAATACCATTGCAGCTCACGCAGGATAGACATTACATTTTCCAACCCAATAATAAATTAGCATATGCAGAAAGGAATAACCCATGCTCATATGCTTTATGGAATGGCGTACTAATTCCTTTGTTCAATGTTTTGTGTATTCGCTCAGAAACGTTGAATATGAAGACATAACCTAATTTGCGGACGAGGGCTTCGTCGACGACTAGGCTTTTTACTTTTTCCAACAGGTCAGATACAGCTCATTGGATTACATAAAGGTGGAACGTAAGATTATTTCAGTGATCGAACCAAAAATGATGCTTTAGTGAGTAGTGTTAGAATGTACGACAGCATTGGTTCTAATGGCTGCTCTTCATCAGAAGTAAAAAGAAAACTACTCCTTCGAAGACGATCACGATTGCTTATCAAGTAAACCTACAAGCCCTTATGAAATTTGATTCATCGCTGTATTATATGTAAGGAAAGCTTACGCCCCGACATGGAAGAGAGAATGTCGGTCCATAGACGTCACAAGGAAAAGATGGAATGAGATATTATTCGTCTTATGGAGTCTTCAGATAGAACAATGTGGAATATCTCTTACTTCGAGAATAATATTACAGTCTTCACAGATCTGCCGTGACATTTTGTTAGTAGGAAAGGCTTCGTGGGATTAGCATGCCATAAAGCATCCAGATCGCCACCGCACACTTTTCAGACCAGCTGCAGGATTTCTTCTAGGAACATTCTTGTACCGTGGCTGTCTATGCCATATGTTGACCTTGATTGGGATTGCGGGTAGAAATGTAGATCTGAATAACGAGACTTGTTGGGCAACGATGCGGAGCTAATGTTGTTGTCCTGTGGTGTCCAAAACGCCATCTTATTTTTTAATACTCAAATATTCTTCCTAGTCACTCAATTATGAGAGTTAAGCGTATAGACTATAAAAAATTACTCCTTTCCTTCTTTGAAACAGTCGATCCTTTGACGGAATTAGAATTCTTTTCATTCCTTCACAAACCGGATAGTGAAAACAATCTTCCACTTCATCTTGGGTGGTACAGGAGAATCCCAGCATCTAAAAAACGAAATTATTGGCTTTTCAACGTCGATGAGCTTAAGCAGTGATACGGTGTGATAGCGCTCGCTCCTCAACGGCCGATACCTGGTCAGACTAGATCATCAGATAATTCGTTGAACATGTCAAATCCTATCAAATAATTCTCATCGGATATACTACATAGCTTTTCTCGTTGAGAAAGGAGAAATACCACTAAAAATATGGAAAATCAACCAAATTTTGCAACAGCGGATAATTCTTTACTGTTCCACTCAGTGGTTTGCAATGTGCACTGACATAGAACTACTCACTAAGTCGAAAACGCTTGTGGACGCTGAACAGTTCCTCGGAAGTTTTGACAAGCCATCTGAAAGGGGCCATCCAATGGAATCCATAAACGAACATATCATCTTCGTTCAACCAATTAATATTTGGATGGTGTGCTGAAAGAGGTTCTTGATCCATATTTCCATATTTCTATGGTCGTTAATATCTTTATCGATTACATTGAATCTGTCTAAGAAGTCTAAACACCAAGAGGTAACCAGTTAAATGCAAAAATTAGTATAAGAACTTGAACAGAGGGCCAAGAAACGGCTCTCTGACTTGTTTTCCAACCGCGGTCGCATCAACCGCCGCGTCGCGGAGGCTAAGTAAAAGTACTGTTTGAGCGATATTTTGTCAGTAATCACATAGTTCAGCAATAAACTATCGTGGAATCTGATAAATTATGGAAAGTCCTTTCTTGCAACACCAAATTTATTGCAAAGCGTGGCAGTTAAAGTGTGTTCCGAATGGGCAGAACTGCGTCAGTGTTGTTTTCTGGTTCGAAAAAAATGATTGCAGTGCTAAAACCAGCTGAGATATCGAAGGTGCTCTTTTTGAATGATGAAGTTCAGTGCATTGATATTCAGAAATAAGCACAACATCGCTGATAATCGAAGTATTTTGAATTAATCTTTCATGAAACACTTCCGACTCAACATTTTTCGGCAAAAGCAATGTTCTCTGCATGTTTTCGTGCTAAAGCTTAAGACCATACCGTAAAATTTGCAAATAGCCTGAAAGAGGGAATCTTCTAGTTACCAAAAAACTAAAATTGTTCCATGAATTTTGGCCCAGTAGCATTTTGTTATCATTTTTTCAACAATCACTAACAGGGAGATGGCGCGTATCGAGCCTATTGCATTGCCTTTAAACGGTGGCGCAACGGGGGAACCCAGCCTGCTATAAGAGCGGACGGCACCTCGGACGAGAAATTTGCTAGCTCCTGGTTGTGGTTGAGTATGTCCGACGTTGCTGCGCCTCCCGCTACGATGACCACGTCGCCAGCCCCAAAGAAGAGCAAGGTTTCCAAGCGTTTTCATATACTTCGCGTTTTTTTTCTTTTGTTGCGTGATGTTACCCTTCAACTGCAGGCAACGAAGCCGAAAGGAGAGAAGAAAGCGAGGACGGCCCCTAGTCACCCCGTTTACGGCGCCATGATCAAGTCCGCCATCAAGGAGTTGAAAGATCGAAAAGGAGCTTCAAAGCAAGCCATATTGAAGTTTATCGTGCAAAAATATAAAGTTGGCGATAATGAGAAACAGGTTCGTCGCACAATTGTTTATGCGATTGTGGAATAGTTTCAACGTTTTGTGCTGTTGTAGGAACGGGAGTGCTATAATACATTGCTGTTTGTATCAACTTGTAGATAAATGCTCGACTTCGAGTTGCTCTGAAACGTGGAGTGCAGAGTGGGCTGCTCACGCAGGCAAGTGGCACTGGAGCGGCGGGTCGATTCCGCTTGGCAGAAAAGTCGAGCCATGAGGCGACTACCAAAGTTCCCAGAAAGCCTAAGGTCAAGAGCAAGGCAAAACCAAAGGAGAAAGCGGTTGAAAGTCCCGTGAGTTACTTGGGTGTTCAGGAAATGTTTTTATTTAGTTGGGTGATTAATGCACGATTTGTGATTTCATCTAAATTTGGTCGCGATAGTTTGTCTCCTTAGGTTGTGATATTATATGTCAATGCGAGGTTTACTCTATTCACTTTTGCTTCGAGTAGTTTTTCTGAAAACAACATCCGAATTCTGATGTAGTAAAGCTAAGGGAGGTCATAGACGTCCTGACATTGACCGCGAGGAATCAGGTGCTTTGGTAGAAGCAAACGCACAATCAGTTTCTCTATAGCTTGCGAAAGAATTCGGCGTAAGTATAACAAGTGTTGCAAAGTATCTAAAGATAATTGGAAAATCGAGGGTCGACAAATGGACTAATGAACAAACGAGCGAACCTTCTTCGAGTTAGAGCGTTGCTGTATATCGCGTTTTGCCGGGGTTTTTGTTTACAGACTGCCCAGCAATTATCTCACCACAAGGAAGATTCTAGAAACCAAATCGATTCTGGAACTACTCTCAGGGAGTTCATCGTCTCCAGAATTTAAGGCGTTATGGAAGTAGAACAAATATTCTCTTTGGTTGGCGAAAATGTGTAGATTGCTATGGTTTCTATTTCAATGAATGAGGTTTGTTTCGAGGTGGGATATGCCACTTTGATGAAACGAGGGGAAATCGTGCATTAGTTTCCGAACGACATGACATCTACAGGTGATGTGTACGCTGTATTTACCAGTAGTACTGTAATTTGTAGTTTTCTCTTGCCATTGCAAATATTTGGTCGTTCTAGAATAAGCAAGTGAAGAAAGAAAAGTCATCAAGTTTGCCCAAGAAAGCCGCCAAGCCGAAGGCTAAGTCTGCTAAGTCGCCACAAAAGGTCACAATGAAGAAGGCCGCTGCTAAGCCGAAAGCACCGAAAAAGACGAAGAAGGCTGCACCGGCTAAGGTGTAGATGTGTAGCATACGATAAGCGAGCCATTGATCTCTTGTAAATATTGTTATATTTATGTTATGTAATTCCTCTGCAGTTCTTATTTATGAGATAACAGAAGATTAATGAATACTATTTCATGAAATAGAAGCCTTCGGGAAGATTTATGTGTGAAGATCAGAAGACGGTGGGACTGGTGTCCGCCGAAGATAAATACGCATTGAGGTCATGGGTAGAGTTGTTTTTCGATGAAGTGTTGCGTTCTTTTGTATTGTGTTATGGTCAGAATTGCTGCTACAGAGGTATTGGACTTTATAGCAATAGTAACACGTTATGATGTTTGAGTTTTCGAATGTCGAAGCAGTGAAGAAGTCGAATTGCAAAGAACTGCGTTGTAGTGGTTGTATGGGTATGACTTCTGTTGTTCCTGTTCATTCCCCAGCTTCATAAGGCGTACGAGAGATGGCTATTTAATTGACGCTGAACGTGATCAGCAACGAATGATATGTGAGTAGCTGATATGCACGAAATGTCGAGGCACTAAAGGGTTGGCGCTTTTTTCGGCTTGAGGATTCAGTGAAATCACGATGATTTTTCGAGTTCTGTGCCATAAAATGAGGAAATTAAACATGATTAGGACTTCTTCAAAAGAATAGAATGTAGATGTTTATGATCCACCGCGCAGAAACTTCTGTATTCAGTGCTAACCGTGCTGTCACCTGACCAGCTTTATGGCTGTCGTGTACGACCTCTGCCGAATCCGTGTGAAATCAAATTTTGCGTTTAGAATGATGCATTGGCGATGTTCATTTTCGGTTCATGGTTCGTATTCGTACTGCTGGGAACGTTTCTACAAGTCTACTGAGTTTTTCTTCCGTTGCTAGAAACGCGGTCACAAGAAGCCATTTCTTGTCATTCGACACTTGCTTTTTTTTTTATACATTCTTCACATTTTTTTTTACGTTTTTTGCAAGACTTTCTCTGTTGAAATAGTTCTTTAAAAAACAAAGCTCTTGGCGGTGATTAATCCCTGAGGGAGGGATATGCCATGCATTCGACTTCATTAAGCATCGTTTGGAGGTGACCGAATGCATATTTGCCTTTTACAATGGCTCGCGGTAGCCTACCGATGTATTGAGCCAGTGCCGCTATCCTCCCAGACAGGTCTGGTACCAATTTGCCGACCCCGGAGGTATGGAACGCTTGCTGAGCCATGGGCGCGGGGATCGATTCCGCGTGTGTGTTGCAGGGCACCTCCGGCCACTACGCCACACGCGCCCTAATAGTTCTATATTTTTGCCACAAATGTAGTCTTTTATAGAACGTGAACGTTTGAGGGTGTAAATATTTCATCATTTTAAAGACAAGTCAAATATACTTCAATCGAACTTGTGCAAATAGGTTTTACGAACGCTGTCGTGATATTTTTTGCGTTTTCCTCCATTTCATTGAGCAAATACATTGGAGAACTACTGTTTCTTTCTTGTAGTTTTATCCAAACAAGGCTTTCAATCGTTAGTTCAGCGGGCTTGCTAACAGGCCACCTTATGCCGAAGTTCATTCAGAGGATGAGGACTTTTTTGTTGAAACTGTAAAAGCTACTAATCAAAAAGAATGGTTGACCTGCTCCAGAGACGAGGACAGGCAGGGTAAGTTCAGGGCTATACGAAAGTTGTGAGACCGTTTTCAAGTTGCATCAAAGAAATGGGGTATCAGAAGAGGCTAACTCGAAGTCGATATCGATCGAAACACATCGTTGCGAACGTGTGACTGTGGCCTGGACTAGACTGATGAGTGTCCTCCATTCTGAAGGTGCCGTATATTTCTATGTTTCCTGTCATCTCGTTATACATTTTTTTGAACCAACTTTTTCTTAACCTCGGCATAAATAATTCATTTTTTGGATTGTCTAACTTATAAGAGGTTGTTGCAAAATTGTCGCATGCAGTTATCATTCCAGTCTCTGGCCTTTTGTAGCCTTTCCCTCTGTGAGCTCAGCAACCATATTGGCTGATAGTCCTGCACAAGACTAACTTGTTTTTCAGTTATTGTTTTTTAATATATTAGATCATTATTCTATGGTAGCGGTAAGCCTACAGTTACTCCTCCATCTTAGAAGCAGTAGTAGCTGCGTGCTAACATAATTTATCACCTAATCGTGCCCGTATGCTAGTCCAGATGACTTTGCAGCTTATCGGCATCGGAAGAGGAGAAGTGATTATCCGGACCCTTGTTGTTGAAAAAATCTGTGCACTACTGTCGAGCCTGGTTAATGGAGAGCATGGTACTCCAATACGTTATGGCTAGTGACCTTTTTATTAGCTTGTTGAATCCGATTGCGTATTCTTTTGAATGGACAGAAGAGATTACTATACGTGTCATAGATCTCATTGCAATTTCACTCTGGTCTTTCCAATTGAGCAGCATAATACTTTGCTGGGCCTTGAACTGCACTATATTGTTTCTTTTTTCTCTATTAGTGCTATAAAATAATTCTTCGTATTTTTGTTGAGCAAACGCGAGGTGTTATTATTCTTTATTCGCGAATAAGCTGACGTTTCGGCGGATTTCGCCTTCCTCAGAGCCGCTTTCTATGAGGGCTTCTCAAGCTGAGAAGTCCCGCATTTCTATCAGGAAGCCCAGCTAAGAGTAATCCAACACCAATGCCAAGATCCGCCACTGTCCTGGTATCAAACTAGTCGCATGGTGGCAAATCTGATTCTGATTCATAAGCGTGGCGACTGCCTGTGGTGGTGACGGCTCTGAGGAAGGCGAAATCAGCCGAAACGTCAGCTTATTCGTGAATAAAGAATTATAACAACTCGCGTTTGCTCAACAAAAATACGAAGAATTACTTGATCAATGCCGAGGTTAATAGAAAGTCGGTCGTGGGAGCTATAAAATAAATCTTTTTCTGGACCAGGTAGTCAGGCAACTGTTAACCAATTGTCAGCTTATAGCTCCATTCTATAGTTTAATTCAGCATTTATCTGCCATATTGCCACTGATTTAGGTGGGCTAACAGTTCCGGAAGTGTTCCTGACAGACTACACTGCTTCTGTGCGTATGCAGCTAACATTTGTGCACAGTTTGAGTAATTTTGTGTTATACCTGTGCTCATTTGGACTGCGTTCGTCTAATTTGATAGGAGTTCAGTGCGGAGCGTAACGCGCTTATCAGTGAGGGACTTTTCTGGCTGTACGAATTTTCTTCCAAGCGATTTCTCGCATAGCTGAATAAATGGGCTAATCATGTTCAATCTACCTTGTCCATTGTTGCTCGTGTTGTCCACAAACACAAAACCTTTCAAATCTAGCTATAGGCGACCTTATCGTTCAGTAGTACTCCTTCAGATATGGTCTTCCTTTCATTTACAATGTGTTACTCGGCACTAACTGGCATTTCTAAATGTTCTGCTTTCACTTTACCCGTTTGTTTATTCTGTTCAACTCCACTACCAGATCACAGCCCAAATTGCTGACAGCGACGATCACAATTGTCTTTTAAGGTTAGTGATAAAAGATGAATAAATAAGCCGTATGTATAGATGTTTATGGTGCACTTTATGGGTCGTTGTAAAAGTATGCTTTAAACGAATGGTGCAATAAATATTGCAGCAATTGTAGAAAAAGCATGAAGCACAGATAGTCGAGGAATTAACTGGGACGGGCCTCGTTCGATAACTGAATGCGTCACGTTTTCAGCTGACCTAGTGGGAGCAGTAGTCCAGGGAGTTCAAGCTGTAATCGTGAAAACGTTGGCCTAAGTTCGTTATGGAATCCAAGTTCAATGAAGTTTGTGCAGTAACTCGGAAGCTCGGCCACTGAAATAGCACATCTGGCATGTATTTTGTTTGCCATGGTTGAACGATACACCTTTAAAACTTCTGTAAGTCGAGTCCCATTCGTAACGTCACGGTTCTGAGGAGGACGAAATCGCCAATAACGTCAGCATCGACCAACAACACCAGCAGCAATGGCAACTTGTACCAACGTCGCATCAGCTCAACAAGATCAGTTAATAAGAAAATACAAGTAAATATATCAACTATTTATGCCGAGGTTTATAGAAAGTTAGTGTTTTGAGTTATTAACAACTCTAACTATATGAATGATTGATTCATTCTTGAAGTCGCTACTGAATGAGTCACTATGACGGCAATCGCGACACGTAGTGATGATCGTGTCACAACAAGACAACACCAAACGCTCAGAGGCTTTAACGAACGGGCAAAATGCATTGTACGCAATAATATGTGACCGGAAATTATTACGCTCTTCGGTCTTCAGGCAAAGGTATTTTAGTCCTTAGTGAAACTTTTCAGTTGAAGTAAAGGCTGTTGCAATCTACAAGTCTTTACCAATAACATCTTTGTTAGCTATCTTATTCTACAATAAAAAATCCTGATTTTCTGGAGGACGATGGACGGGTCTTTTTGCTTTCCCTTGTCGATACTCGTGTTTCGAACCCCAAAACAATTGAATATCGGAATTTCATAGAAGAGGCAGAATGATGTCTAGTAAAGCTTCTTGATGTTTCCGATGACATCATTTGCGTCAGAAATTTTAATAATACAAATGTTATTTGTGACTTATAAATTTATGGCTTTGTAAACAAAATTTGAATAGAAAACAACTATTCAGAGCCTCTTTTACAAGTCAGTTAGGTTCCCAACCGCTCAGCTACTCTAGTTATCGAAAAATTACCGGCACTGGTCAGAAAACCAACATCGGGCGTTGCGTGCTAATTGCTGGACCTTAAACAACAAAAGGAAAAACCGGAACATTTTAATGCAAGAGGGTGCTCAATGAGATAAAGCTCTTGCTACGCTGATCATAGAGCTCTTCACACATTAGTGCAAAAATAATGTCGGATTGTATAGCATTACCTACCGATTTTCCGCGGAATTTCGTTTCTTCGTAAAGCAATAAATTTATTGAAAGTATTTTCCGTAACTTATAAGCGATCGTCAATAAAAGGATAAAGGGTAAAGTTCTCAGAGTTGATCAATTTTCTGAGGATGCGCTATCCATTCGACTTCATCAAGAATCATTTGGAGGTGATTGAATGCATATCTGCCCTTTACAAAGTCTGATACCAATTTGCCGACCTCGGAGGGATGACGGCGATTGTTAACTCGCGCAAAGGGATACTCTGTTAGCTCGAGGTTCATTGAGCACGAATGATTAAGCAGATTTTCCCAACTCAACTCGTTCAACTTCTGTGTCGGTATTTGTACTGAGTGTAACTAAGCGTTATCGTCCAAAAGGATTGGACCTTATCTGTTAATTAGCTCTAGATTCATATGCAAAAATTTTAGTGCATTTCACCATTCTTATAGTAGTGATCGCTAAAACTAAGAAAATGTTAGTGAATCAGTCCGAATGTGCACTACCAAACGGTTATCGCAACAACAGCTTGCAGTGAAATTCGGCTTTCGCAGGAGATCGATATCCTTATGAACTGATCTTGTTGAGCTGAGAATCGTTTTTGTTGCGTAAAATAAGCGTGGGGCATCATAATTACGATGGACTTCCCCTTCGTTTAATCCATATGACATGCATTGGTCGAGTTTTCTTTTAAACCACCAAATAACGGGCAATTGATGGATGGTAAACGTTGTGCTCTTCTGTGTTTGCTTAAGTAGTTTTCAGTGGATTGACTTTTATTGACGCCTTAAGATGGCAGTCGTCAACTGCTGACAAGAAAGTATGACCTTCTCCTTCATGAAGACCTTCATCTCCAATACAAAACCTCTCAGTCTATCTGCGTACTGTGAGTTCAGAAGTGGATTCCGGGGCCGGTGTTTGATGGGCTGCTTGGACTTGTGCTTTGTTCAGTATTAAGGGAAATGAGAACTTTTTGCTTCGATGAAACAGTTTATACTACTGTTGAATTATTGTAAAAGGGGTAAAGGATAAAGCTCTCCTCGTCGTTGATCAATTCCTGAGGGATGCGCCACGCATTCGACTTCACTAAGCATCGTTTGGAGGTGATCGAATGCATATCTGGCCTTTATAGTGCCATACCGATGTATCGAGCCAGTGCTGCTCTCCTCCCAGACAAGTCTGGTACCAATTTGACGACTCCGAAAGGATGGAAGGCTTGGTGGGCCATGGGCGCGGGGACCGACCGATTCCACGTGTGCGTTGCAGGGCGCGTCCGACCACTGCGCCACATGCGAGTTATTGTAAATTAAAAGAAAAGGTTATAAGATGAACAGTTATGTGAAAAAGGCTTTTTAGATGCTATACAACAACAACAGAAGCAGTGACTATTTATGAACAGATTTATTTGAAAAATTCGTATTGAAGAAATTCATTTTAAACAGGAGCACTTTTAACATATTGACGATAGTGCCATTTAATCAGTTTTCACTTTTTTTCTATTCAAAAATCAGTAGGTGATAAAATGAAACATTTCTGAAGGCGCGAAAATGTTAACCAAAAAATTTTTTACAAATGTGGGTTAGCTCATCAATAAAGCAATGCGTTGAATAAAAATACAAGCACAAATTCAAGTCCACATATTGTCGCCGAATAGCACGAGAGCTTACCTCAGGACTCTTTTTTCACTAAAGTCGCCGTCGTGCTAAAATAAAATAAGCTACAAAGAATTAAACGTACATGGGATCCATAGTGTCAATAGATGCAGCCACACTCCTTTGTTGATCGAAGGAAGCTCTTCACAAAGAACTCGGTTTCTAATTTGCCGAATTCGTAGGCATTGCAGCCATGGTCACGCAGGAACTGAGTCAAACGTGCGACCAGGCGTATATTGCAGAGTATCCGTAATCACCACACTTCGTATTGTAGTTGCTGCTGATTTCCTTATCAGAAAAGCTAGTGATAAGATTGTCTGAGAAGGGTATAAATAGTGGTCGAATAGGTATTTCACTTACTAACAAAGAATCTAGCAAGAAGCATGCCAGCTCCGAAAGAAGACACGTGGGCGTTCCAGGCGAGGACATTCACTTATTCTTTGTTCATATTATTTAACGAAATACTGTGTTCCATTCCAGCCAATCGGGGCTCCATTTCCGGACAACCCGGTTCGTGTTCCCGGTCAGCAGAATATGTACGTTGCGTTGTGGTACAAGCATGGCAAGCCAATCCATGGACGTGCGTGGAACAACAACGGCGGTGTTGAGTGCTCGTTTCCCTATAGTAAAGTCGAGCTGTCAGGCGCTAAGGACCTCGGTGGACAAATCCAGATTCTCACCTATAAGGGAGATTTTGATTCACTGGGATATTGGTGAGCTGTGGTTTTTATCCCATATTTATGCGTAGTTGAATAGTCGATCGGGTCGGAAACCGACTACGAAAGTCTGGGTTAACATTTTAAATAAAAGAATAATTACTTATAGGATGATGCAACAATAAGTGAGTGTAAGTGCTGTTGATCGCACAGAGTATAACGTACTAAAGACGAAAGTCAACAGACGAAATTTCGTTGAATAGGAATAAATTAACAGAGTAGTAGATTTACTTATGTCCGTGCTAACGATGAATCAAAAGTTATGTGGATGAGTTTGTGTTATGGCATTCGACCGTGGTCGAACAGCTAGTATGTATTTTCCGCACTGCGTGAACTTTAAGGCTAACAGCATTCATAAGAGAGCAGTTATAGAATTACGTCTCAGCAACAGGAAAGCAATCTCTAATGTTTCATTTTTATCAATACTGAGGCCACTTTATAATACTTAATACGAATAGGCAACGACGTTCCTATTCTATTTCTCCTTCTTCTTTAAATGACAACGAAGCTGTTAAGGTATGAATGGCTTCCAGTCAAGACACGCTTAGCAGGCGAGGCACATCGTGAACTCGTCCGATGTGGGCAGTCGACACCTGTGCTGATGCCATGCAAGGACGGGCAGCAGAGAATCGGCTACCTGGATCTGAGCACTGAAATTGCTCTGGTATCAGTAGGTGGCAAAACAGAGAGCTTGGCTGGTAGCCCGGCGCAAGAACTCCTAGGCATTTTCCGCAACCTGCGTCCACCACCTACTGGTGTTAAGATCTACGAAGACCTCTGGGGAGACATGAAGTTTGGCGACAATTTCCCGAAAAATGTGGTGCCGGTCCGTGAATTTTCAAGGATATGCGGTTTCATCGCTTTCTGTAACTTATTAGGTCGTCATGAATATACTATGAATATACTATGGGCGTTTAGGCCGATTACCGTCAGTTGAAGACAGAAACTGGCCCGATGAATCAATATGTAGCACTGTGGTACAAACACGGAGAACCGGTGTTCGGCCGTGCCTATCCGAGCCAGTCCGGAAAGGTTCGTGTGAGATTACTGAAGGTTACTGCACACTGCAGATGATCGGAATAAGAAAAATCTATTTTAGATTGTGGCAAGTTTTGGTGCCAATAACCAGGAGAACAGCGGTCCAGAAATCGGTTCAATGCAAATGCTTACAGTACCTGACGAAAGCAAGGTGCGTTTAAAATCAGTATAGTGTAGAACAATTAGTTTTCCTTGACGATCACTCGTGCAGTTATAACAGACTATGTTGTTAGCCCAATACTTCAGATGGGTCTCGAATACAAATGGATAACGACAGCCGAAGGAAGAAGCGGTGGATGGACTATGGTACATGTTGGCGACTCCGCACCTGTGATTGTCGTTGATGAGAAGGGTAACGAATACTTGGGCAACTTAGATACTGGGAAGGATAAAGCATCAATTGGTTGGGCTGGTAAAGAAAAGGTGAGGAACTTTACACACGAGTGAGTGTTTCAAAATTCCAGTTAGCTTGAGCTCACTGGTGAACGTTGTCTTTGATGTTTCGCGCTGCAGTATTTTTACTCTTGCAAACACAATGCGAACTGTGTTTTTATGCTTCTTGAGGATTGGAGGGAGCATTTTGACGTTAGAGAAGTGTGGTACTAATTCTCCAATCCTTAATGCATTGAATGCTCAGTTGGCCCGAGCGCGTTTGGACAAGGTAGGATCTTGCACTCATTATTGAATGGCATCTCCACCACTGCTCTTTTCGCGCCTCAAGAATAGATCTATGGCGAAAATAGTCTGAAATCGGCAAAACAAGTGTTGCCGGCAAGTTCAGCATATGATACCTCGTTTTCAAAAGGAAGGACTAGAACCTCGGTCCATTAGGTGAAGTTTAATCTGCATATCGATTTTCGATCGTTTACCTTTCAGTCGTTTGCTGGAGGAGCATGTGCTGGCTTCAAAGTGCTACACAAGAGAAAGATTACCTGAACAGTGTATGAACAAACCTCGTAGACGATTTTTGTATGTAAAAAATTCAATAAGAGCCACGTATGTTTCTGTTCGTTGACTTGGAAAAGTACACACCATACAATTTACTCTACGCTTGTTCCTGCCAGGAGAAAAAGTAGGCCAGTGGGTACTTTTCGTTGTATGATCGGGCAGGTCATATTTGTTTACGATTTTAAAGAAGATAACCATCGCGTCGAGGGTTCTCCTGTCTTGAGAACGACACTCTTTGGCATTCAAATGTTAGCACATTTCTTCTTCAACGATTCACATTTTAGCCTTATGACACGTTCGACCCATCCAGCTTTTGAAATCTTGGCTAGTAGGGGCAGTACTTTTGCTTTTCGATCGTTGCCACAGGTAGGTCGACTTCAGATTCCCTGTCCTACATCCGAAATATGGAGTCTGGAGTCTTTTTAGTGTAGCACCAGTACTGCCTTTGATGACGTTGAGTGATCTATACCATGCCAAGTTCCTGAGTCCTAAAGCAGGAGGACTGTTAGCTATCATTCCAATTTGTACATGACGTTCTCGAGAATGACATCGAATAATTTTGGCAAGATTGTATCGATTTGTCGGATGCCTGTCAACGGCAGTGTCGTTGTAAAATGGTGCGATTCTGTGATAAAAATTCTATATCCAGTATGGAATTCCTATATACCGAATATAGACGCTCTAGATATCCAAAGCTTCAATAACAACTTCTGTTTCAATAGAGTCAAAAACTTTGTTTCAGTTTATGAAGGCGAAACGAAGTGGTCCCTTGTTTATTTGTAGATGAACACGAATTTCCATATTTTGAGTCGCACACAATTATTTTAAACTTTATTACTAGTGCGAAATATAACTTTAATGATGTTGAGATATTTGCAAAACCCCGGACCGCAGGTGTATGCGGTGGGGAACGAACACGCTATTGTCCTTTCCGGGGAGTAACGCCTTCACCATCACACCGTCCATGTGAGTCCTTCGTTTCGCCTGTTTCTCAGCTAGTTCTATCGATCTTTGCCACAGCAATCACACGTCAGCGGGATTGATATGGGGGCCCAAATCGGCAGCAAACCCAGTTAAACTGAGGCTGTAGTCGTAATCGCAATTTTAACTTGTTATTTCGAGCATCGATTGCTTTGGTCGGCTACTAATTCTAATTGCGTTTGGTGGTTGAAATAATTTGGACTAAAGCCGGCTTTGAGAATCTTCGTTGCCTCAGTATTAGATATATGACAAACACAGGGTGTAGCACAGGGTTTCGATATCGATTCCCAAGGTCAACTTTCTATTAACCTCTGCATTGGATTATAAATCTGTTGTTCTCTTTTTTACAGCAATCGCGAAGTTGTTATTCGGCACACGTTTACTTCCTCACAAATGTAACACAACGGTAGCTGACGTTTCGGCAGTATCGCCTTCTTCAGAGCCTGGAAGGGTACACTAATGCGCAACCTACTAGGTCAAACGCTTCAACAGTACAGACATAAAGATGAAAATAGAAAGAAATATAGAAAATAGAATGAAAATGGTTAATAGAAAGTCGGACGTGGGAGTTAGAAAGATAAAAATCTGAATGATAATTACAAGATCAATGGTTTCTCGAAAAATCGGCCGCTTTTTTCATCTGTGTTCCACCGAGGAAGAACAGCCGCTCAGAGTTGCTATCCTCGCACGGGATCCTAAAACACCAACGTGCAAACTCCTAGAGGCGTTCTGGAAAAATACCAAAAATCTTACAATGAATAGCGAATGCCTCGAGATCACACGTGATCTCGTCCTGTACCTTCGTATCGATCGTCGATGTGGGGAGGTGCAGTCGTCGACCGTATGCAACGCTGATCAGTGGCTCTTCCTCAGTGGAAAAGAGACACATAAAAGTGGTGGGTTTTTCGAGAAGCCATTGGTCTTGTAATTATCGTGGAGATTTCATCTTTCTCTTTGTGCTGTTGAAGCGTTTGATCCACTAAGTTGTGTATTAGTGTACCCTTCCAGGCTCTGAAGAAGGCGATTCTGCCGAAACGAAAGCTACGGTTGTGTTTTATGTGGGTTACTGTGTGGAAGTAAACGTATGCTGTTTGATAACCTCGCGATTGCTGAAACAGAAAAAGACTATTTTTTCTTAATCTTTTTATTTATTGCCTTATTCTTTTAATGGCAGGGTATGTTAGGTTATGTTATTAAGATTGTGATTATAACTAAGCCTCAGCTTAACTAGGTTCAATGCCGATTTGGGCTCCCCAGATCAGTCCCGTTGACGGGTGATTGCTGATGGCAAAAAAGATCGATAGAACTAGCTGAGAGACAGGCAAAACGAAGGACCCGGATGGTGTCGTGGTGAAGTGCGCTGCACCCCGGTAAGGACAACAGCGCGTGTTCGTTCCCCACCGCATACACCTGGTGGTCCAGAGTTTTGCAAGCATCTCAGCATTATATACTATTTTTTCGTTCAGGATAGTATAACCGCGATTATTTTTGAATCCTTTTTTGCCTGCAATCCTTAGGCCATTACTAAAACCGGTTGCGCATTCTTTAGTGTAGGCGTAAAAGATTTTAGTTCATCCTGATAAACCAGCTGCCTATTTGATGTACAATCACTTCGGTCGGTACATAGGCTTATAAGATGACTAACGGAATTTTAACTGCTGCATAACAGATTCATGACCAAGACCACGTATTCTCAAATATCCGTGATTGCGGGTGAATGTCCGATATGAAGAATACCTCATGCTACGATTAGAAACTTGCTGTTTGTCTCAAAATATCACTAAAACGACTGCACTACACGTCATTTTGAATGGAGAGTACAAAAAGGTATAAAAAACAGTGCACTTCAACTTGTAATTTAATAGAAATCGAAGGTTTTGAACAATTTGAACCATATATGACTCATATGACATCGAAGCCAGAGCTGAGTGGCACATGTGTGGCACAATATCTCATAGCGCAAAATGGGATGTAAAAGTCACAAAGAGTGGAAAAAGAATCCAATTAAAATGAATTGTTACCGTGGTTTAATGCTGAACTCAACACATAATAACATAGTAGGGTCGGTATATCAGTATTTGAAGTCGGACGAACAAGTGTATCCATCTTGTCAACCTTAGGAATTTCTTTTACCCCTACTCGATCTTCATAGTTCGTCATAAAACCGTTAGAATAGAAGGCAGAGCAAACATACGGATATAGTTTTATTCCAAATTTTTGAGTTTCTAAAGCGAAAAATAGACGAATCATTCAGTAGACGTCCATTGTAAGATATATTCAGAAGAGGTAAGGTAGAGCGTAAAGAAAGATGCATTTTATTTAAAGAAAGATCTCATTGGTTAAAAAACAAAAGGTATGATTTTCTTTTCTAAGCATGATTATTGCAAAACAACTGAACTGTGCAAAGTGAACGCTGGAATATCAAAATGAATAGAAATATGGCAAACACAGCTGCTGCGAAGTAGGTACAGGATCCGTAGCTGACTTCTATTCCAGACGAGTTTGTCGCCTAAAAGCAGTCAAACCATATCCACTCAGATTCACGATTTTTGCTGGCTATCCGGAATACGACTGATACTTCGGTAGCTTTGTTGTTTTCTGATTTGTGATTCTGGACTGATTTCAAGTAAAGGACTCTTCACTATTTGGTTTTGAAAGTCCACCAAAACTTTGAAAGTGTCACCTTATCACCAATGGATTTTTTACTTACCAGAAACAGGAATATACAACAAGAATTTTCTGGATTCGGTCCTCTTTTTCGGTCAATTATATTTGTTAAGTTTTTATCAATTTTGATTCAATATTGTAAAAAATGATAGGAAACAGTTGCACTTTTCCCCACAGAAAAGAAAAAAGAGTAGTCTAAGGCGCCAGCTAGTTCGTAACCGCCTAAACGACCGTTTATGTGCAACGAAAAATTGCACAATATGCCCTAATGGTAGAGACGGTGACTGCATGAGTTCGGGTACAGTCTGCTTGATCTCTTGTAAAGCGTGCGGGGACGAATACGTTGGTGAAACGGGAAGACCACTCTGCATACGTATAAAAGAACACCTGGTCGGCAAACGTAAGCTAAGTACTCCACTAGGTATGCATAGCACGCAGAAACATAACGGAGAAGATTTTGAAGTAAGGGTTACGATCCTCGCGCAAGGATCGAGAACACAAGCGCGCAAAACTCTAGAGGCATTCTGGATAAATTCCAAGAATCCGAAAATGAACCGCATGGAGGAATGCCTCATTATCACGCATGATATTCGACAGTATATAAACCTGTTATTCTGATGGGAGGGGCACATTACGCTTCCATGTGAATTCTGTGCGGTTGGTCTCCACGCGACGTACTCAGTGGAAGACTCATAGAAAGCGGTGAGTGTGCAGAGCTATGCTAAATGTGATTGAAATCTTGGTTTAGCGTTTTCTCTGTTTGGTTATGGAGGTGTTTGGCCGAATGGATTGCTGTCAACTTGACCTTTCTGAGGCTCTGAGGAAGGCGAAATCCGCCGAAACGTCAGCTTGTGCGTAAATAAAGAAATAAAATAGCACCTCGTGTTTGCTGAACAGAAATAGAAAGATATATTCAATCAATGCCGAGGTTAATAGAAAGTGGGACTTGGGAGAAAAAAATAGATCTTGACTGTATCAGTAAACTGTAATGCTTAACAGTTTTGATGAGTTACGAGCTTATTTGATGAAATGTTTGGTATTTTTTGTACTTATCGTGTTAACTTAGTCACTTTCTATTGAATTCTCCTACCTGAAGGACTCGTTCATCAACTGTCATTATTGCATGGCGAGCATCACTCCACGCATGGGGGCCGTGTAAACGGTAGAAATACGGTACACAAGGACCAAAGTAAATCTGAATAATCTAAATCTAAGAGTGCTACGAATTTGGTTATGGCACAAAAATAAAGCGAAAAAGGAGGAAACTACTTTGAGTGCTGAATCCTAGAATTTTACATCAACACAATCTTCACATTACTGTTTCGTGTAAAACGAAAGGATAAAACTCAGCGTTGATCAGTCCTAGAGGGATGTACCATGCATTTGACTTCAGTAAGCATCGTTGGAGGTGACTGGGTGTATATCTGGCCTTTACAATGACTCGCGGTTGCCTACCGATGTGTTGATTCAGTACTGCTATCCTCCCAGACAGGTCTGGTGCCAATTTGCCGACGCCGCAGTGATGACGGCTTGGTGAGTCTGGAGCTCAGGATCGATCCCAAGTGTTTTGAAGGAGCCCTCGATCACTGCCTTATGCGCTCCCAATGCATCAATGTTAATACAGCAAAGAATTTTCCGATAAAGTTTCGACGTATTTGAAATATTAGTGTAGCAAGAAATTTTATGCTGGTCTTTGCTGTCAGAACCATTGTCGACATAGTGTTGGTTTCATCTGTATAGGACGTAATCGTATTAATCATAGAGTAGCATCACAGAGTAACTTGAACACTAACCAGTAAATGTGTCGTTTTCTTGTTCAGCAATCGCGAGGTTTTTAAACAGCATACATTTACTTCCATAAAAACACAATACAATACAACGCTAGCTGACGTTTCGGCAGTATCGCCTTCTTCAGAGCCTGGAAGGGTATACTGATATACAATCTACTAGGCCAAACGCTTCAATAACACTTACAAGAAGACGAAGAACTCTCCGGCAATTACATAATCAACAACTTCTCGAAAAACCCACCGCTTTTTCGTGACTTCCAATGAGGAAGTTTAGAACAGCTGATTATAGTCGCATGTGGTTGACGACTGCACCATCCCACATCAAAAATCGATGCGAACGTACGAGATCAGGTCGCGTATGATCTCCGGGCATTCGTCCCTGCTATTCCAAAACACGAGTCCAAAACACCAGCGCGAAAACTCCTTGAGGCTTTTTGGATCAATGCCAAAAGCCCTACAATGAATAGCAGGGACGAATGCCCGGAGATCATACGCGACCTGATCTCGTACGTTCGCATCGATTTTTGATGTGGGATGGTGCAGTCGTCAACCACATGCGACTATAATCAGCTGTTCTAAACTTCCTCATTGGAAGTCACGAAAAAGCGGTGGGTTTTTCGAGAAGTTGTTGATTATGTAATTGCCGGAGAGTTCTTCGTCTTCTTGTAAGTGTTATTGAAGCGTTTGGCCTAGTAGATTGTATATCAGTATACCCTTCCAGGCTCTGAAGAAGGCGATACTGCCGAAACGTCAGCTAGCGTTGTATTGTATTGTGTTTTTATGGAAGTAAATGTATGCTGTTTAAAAACCTCGCGATTGCTGAACAAGAAAACGACACATTCATATTCCAATGCCGAGGTTAAGAGAAAGTCGATCTTGGGAACTAACCAGTAAATCCTCCAAGGATTAAGGCCGTGGTAATTTTGCTAGGACGCCATTGGACTGATTTATTTTCGTCAAAAATTTGGTGGTCAAAACGCTCAACTTGGCTTTAATAGTGTTTTACGTAACTAACGATTCTTCTCTTTGAATTCTTTCCATAGATTCGCTCAGATGCGGCTGCTTTCTAACAATTATCAAACAGTCAGTCATAATCGGAAAGCGACTTTTTTTCGGGTGAAATTTTACTTCCTTATACAGCATTTCCAAGCTTTGAGAATATTTCACAAATAGTCGGATATGCAGAATATTATAAAATTTGGAACAATTGGGCAGTTGTGTAGCAGCATACACGGCAAGTCCTATCCGCACTTATTAGCTTGGTACATATGAAATGTCCGAAATATGTTTCGAATTTTAAGGGCAGACTTTATAATGTCTTTAAAACAACGGTATTACTATGATGATACAGTATATCCAACCTTATATGCCAAAAGTGGATCAAACTGGACGAGTTTTGCGATGTTCGGCCTGCATCCAACTATATTAGCTAGCTCATCCATGTATGCGATGTAATCGACCTGAAAGGGAGTGATCTGTACCTATATTTATCTCCATGATATCCGGAATTCACAACTGCATCGGAATGGTAATCTCCTAGTATACCAGAGTGATCACACAGACCGAGAAAGTATTTAAGACTGGGGAGCGCAAATCGGCATAGAACCCAGTTAAGCTATGGCTGTAGTTGAAATCACAATGTTTAACGTTTTGTTTTCTGCCTTCTATCGTTCCCCACCATAGACACCTGCGGTCCAGAGTTTTGCAAATATCTCAGCAACGTTGTGGTTGTATTTCGCTTAGTAACCTGCCATGAAAATTATAGAAGGCAGAAAACAAAACGTTAAACATTGTATTTAAGACTTTTAAGACTTTTAACCGAAAAGTTAAGCCACAGCAAACCTATGCCAGCCATCCAGGAAGAATAGTCGAATTCTAATCTGTTATACAAAGTGGGGCAACTATCCTGCAGTGAAATTTTATGGACACTCTCGCTCGTCTGTGTATTGAATCGAGCAGGCAAAACTTGGTAAGCTATCAAAATACAGATCCAGATGAAGTTTATTCATCTTTCGGTTTCATTTTTATTATTTACAATCAAAAATTACCATGCATGATTTGTGACCATTGGAATATCTAAATGTATACGCAAAGCAAAACGAAACAGAAATTTTCCCTCCATACATACATGCCTGGTATTCGAAAATTGAATAGACAGGAACCATTTCCATTCGGTTAGTAATTTTCCAGTTGGACAGAATTTTCTTTCCGAGGGATCTTAGTTTAGTTTTGCTAGATTCCTCTGAAGTGTAGCAAACACATGTAATCGTAAGGCGTTGCGGATTGAGAGAAATTGACTTGCTATTACGTTGTTACCAGGACGGCCATGATTTTTAGTACTGCTTTGTTGCTAGCTGAGCTTCTCCATCGAATTGTCGAAAGTCTTATTAGCTCAAGATGCCTACCATATTGGTTTGATAAGGCGGAACTGTCCCCTGCTCTGTGACAAGCAAAAAGACCTCCCACTCACGCTGAGGCTGAAAACTACCGGGATCTCAGCACCGACTTTCTATCAACCTCGGCATTGGATTTTAATTCGTCGTTTTTTTCCTCTCAGCAATAGCGAGGTTGTTAAACAGCATACGTTTACTTCCGCACAACAGCACACAGACAACACAACTGTAGCTGACGTTTCGGCAGAAACGCCTTTTTCAGAATCGTGTTTACGTGCCTTTCATTGAGGAGCCGCTGATCAGAGTTGCGTATAGTTGACGACTCGCTGGGGTCTTTTCGTCTGTTCAGAGAGAATATATAACAAATTGGTCTTGAAGCGAACTGCTGATCAAGAAAACCCAATAATTTTATACTATGCTAAGGCTATATCAGAGGTTACCAGAGATTTCTGGCAACTACTGGCCGGCAACAACTCTTTTGGAGTTCGTCGAAAGATGAATTTGGACGTTTCACATCGTTGTGACAGGTTGTGATGGCACTTACGAACTTTTTACAAGTAGCTTTTTATCATTTGGCGAAGAAACGTCTGTCACGGCTATTGTGAGACAACAAGTTTCAGCAGTGTTGATCTATTGTTTTCTTGTCTGTTTATTGTTTCAACTAAGCACTTTAGCAGTCGCCAATAAAGCCAAATTTGTAATAAATAGCACAGAGGGTGAATTTCGATACGTTTTGCGAATATGCACTTCGAAACACTCTCGCAAGCAACTCTTCCATGTTGGCACAACTTGGTGAGAATATTTAAGTGTTGATGAATTTTTCTATTTTAATTGCCATAATTAGCGGCATAGCGATCAAACTGCGGTTCATTTGATCACGGAAGAAGCAGGCGATAAAGAAGGTTATTGGCAATGCAAGGAAACGGAAGACATAGGTATTGATTACTGTCATACTCTACGGATCCGGATTCACATAAATAGCCACACTCATGGCTACTGTTAGGTTATTTGTATCCTATTAATTTTAGATGAGACGTTTCAATTAACACCTTTTATTAAATTGGCAATTGAAGGCAGATAAGCGATCAAATCCAACCTGTATGGTATGCCTTGGACTTTTCACATAACGTGCTCTCATCTTGTCTTGTTTTTCTCGAATCCACTTTTTCATCTAAACGTTTTCCAAAGGCATAAAAACTAACACAAGAGCTCTTTCATAGGTGGAATGACTATACTAGTAACGCACCTTGTCTTTTCCGGGAATTTTCTTCGACCCGAAGAGATTTTCGTAAAATACACGTGCTTGCATTTCTGAGATTGGCATTATGGAACCAACCGGCTAAACTAATGAATTACAAGCTATTTCTATTCAACAGGAATGTTTTTGTAACAGACTTTGCGAAAATATATTAAAAGAAAAAACGAGAATTCAGCTGCAGTAATGCTGAGTTTTTTGCAAAACTTTGACTCTAGGTGAGATTCGAACCCTCAAATCCCCTTCCAGGAGGCTCACATGTTACCCACTGCACCACCGTGGTCCTCGTTCTGGCTTTCTCTCCATCATTTTTTTTAACCTTGAAGATTTCTTGGAAATTGGATGTTTTGAATGTAAATGGTTCTTGAGGGAAAATTATTGAATTATATATGGGAAGTTTTAGCAATATGCAATATTATAGATGAAGGGTAAAAGCCTTGTGCATCAATTCAGATAAAGCATTATGAAGGTGTAGAGCGTAGTTATCCCACAGACAGGCTTTCATGGCGAGTGTCTCCAGTTCTGATCTCCAAGCTGGATCGATAATTCGCGATATCGTTAAGCTTATGGAAATGGATGGTTCACACTATATATATCACATGTGCCTATTGATTTTACTTAGAAAATTGGTGGATTTGGTCAATGAATACTTGACATCTAGTAATTTCGTCGGAAATGTTATTGAATTCACCTGAATAAGGCCAATAACTGCAAGTGAGTTGTGATCAGAAGTTTCTATAGGAAACATGTATTCGTAGAGTTCGACAACATTTTCGTGCACAGGAATCAATTCGCCGTTCTCGACAATGGGAAAGTGAAAATTGAATCCAGTGGCCAACAAAACCTGAATCGGATTTTTCGCACAGAGGCTCTAAATAAACAATAAATAATATTAACCGTTTTACCTACTCCCTACTATTTTCAATGGCAGGGTATAATGCGAAATATAACTTCAACGATGCTGAGATATTTGGAAAACTCCGGATCGGAGGTGTCTGCGGTGGGAACGAACGCGCTATTGTCCTTTCCGGGGAGTAACGCGTTCACCACCACACCATGCGGGTCCGTTGCTATTCTTGTCTCTCAGCTGGTTCTATCGCTCTCTGTCGTCAACAATCATAGATGGGCTCCCCAGATCAATTCCGCAGATGGGTGATTGCTCGCGGCAGAGATCGATAGAACTAGCTGATAGACAAGCGAAACGAAGGGCCTGCATGGTGTGGTGGTAAGCGCGTTACTCCCTGGAAAGGACAATAGCGCGTTCGTTCCCACCGCAGACACCTGCGATCCGGAGTTATCCAAATATCTCAGCATCGTTGAAACAATAAATAGATCATGCAACGATAACTCACATCATCAACATCGTTTACTTCAGTGCCATCCTCAAAAATCACTCCGTTTTCGGTAAACTGTCGAATATTCGGTTTAATTCGAACTGTTCCGCAAGCGATGCGATTCGGAAGCTCATCGTTGACCGTCGGATGAGCACCAAAAGTATTTATTGATTGGTGCCATTGTTTAAATTATGTGCAGTATTGTATTTATCGAAGAGGTTTTGAAAAGAAAGTTTAGTCTGAAGTATCAGATCCATACGGTATGAAGTTCATTAATGTATTGTGGCAATTTTATTTAATTTTCATTTATAAAAAAGCCTTTGACTGAGAAAGGCAACTGAGATAGAGTACTCCTGGGAATTATGGAAAAGTAAGATTTTCCTGTTAAGATCACAAGACACCTCAACGAACAGAAAGCAGTTTTACAGCCATACTTTTTCCATTTCATAATGCTACGGTGAAAAAAGCGAGGTTCCACAAGGCGATACCATCTAGCGAAGTAATTCAACGATATACCAAAGAAGTTATAAAAAGACAAAAATTTCATACCATGGTTTTTGTATCCTCAATATAACCCTTGAAAACCTTAGACCATATAGAACAAAAGACGAGAAATTATTCACCGTTGCTGAAATATCCCGAGCAATGCAAGTGAAAGAGAGCACGAAGTTTCGAGGCAAGTGATCTGTGTTAAGCGTAAGAACCGTAAGCGAGTAACGATTACATCGGGGTGTAATGCCTAAATCAGGTAGTCCTACCAACGAGATGGTGAGAGTTACTGTAGTAGAAGTGGAGAATTAGAAGCTTCGCCGGCGTCTATTCGAATAACTCAGGAAATACCGCAAATATACAAGCGATTATCATTAATTGCTCATAATCCCTTCTGTGAATGTGACGCTTCAGTTCGATGCCATCTTTTCGATTTACTGGATTTAGACCTCCCAATATTATTCTTCAGTAACCGTCAGTTGATTTGGTCAGTATCTACGGCACGTTCACTTATAGATCGGGAACACTGGTATTATCATGATAAAGGCTTCCGCAGGACCTTTATATTACGTTCTAGTTCAACGCTGCCCACACCAGCGTCCAATGTGACAAAAACTTTAATTAATTGCCGCTATGAACTTTTACACTGTCTCAATCTATTCTAGAATTAACTTCAAACACACAAAAAATGAAATGGTCTTGTCACCTAAATATTCGATGCTTTGGTTTTAGTCCGTAACGTTCATGATCGAAACGCTTATTCAATTTGCTCTCCACGAACGTATTTACCAGACATTGTGGAAGCAGCCCTTGAATGTGTTGTAAATATCTCCTGAAAACTTTCTGATAACCTCCATCGCTTTATATTCGTTGGAATTTCTTCGTTGAAACTTCCTCCAACGTAGAACTGTATTAGATTGCTTTTGTTAGAATAATGCTGATATAACTCGTATGAAGTGCTGAGATATTTGCAAAACTCCGGACCACAGGTGTATGCAGTGGGGAACGAACACGCGCTGTTGTCCTTACCGGGGAGCAGCGCACTTCACCACTACATCAGCAATCACCCGTCAACGGGATTGATCTGGGGAGCCAATATCGGCATTGAACCCAGTTAAGCTGGGGCTTCGTTATAATCACAATCTTAACTCTAGTAAAAGTAAAAGAGTTAAGATTGTGATTATAACGAAGCCCCAGCTTAACTGGGTTCAATGCCGATATTGGCTCCCCAGATCAATCCCGTTGACGGGTGATTGCTGATGGCAAAAAGATCGATAGAACTAGCTGAGATACATGCAAAGCGAAGGACCCGGATCGTGTAGTGGTGAAGTGCGCTGCTCCCCGGTAAGGACAACAGCGCGTGTTCGTTCCCCACTGCATACACCTGTGGTCCGGAGTTTTGCAAATATCTCAGCACTTCATACGAGTTATATTTCACAACATACCCTGCCATTAAGAAGAAAAAGGCAGTAAGTAAAAGAGTTAAGAATGCTGATATATTTCCAAAAATCTGGAGCGCAGGTGTCTGCGGTAGGTATGCATGGTGAGGAGGTGAATAGACCCTGGAAGGGGTAATAGCTGTTTCGTTCCCTACCGCAGACACCTGCGGTTCAGAGTTTTGCAAATATCTCAGCACGTATTTATATGTTCTTATGAAGTGATGCTGTTGAGCTGATGCGAGTTAGATTTTCGCGAATAGTTTTAGAGCCAGCCACTATTCTTTTCCAGATGTTCCTCTCCAAGTACTGAACACAACGATTTTTCCGTATATAATGCTAAGATATTTGCAAAACTCCGGACCGCAGGTGTATGCGGTGAGGAACGAACGCGCGCTATTGTCCTTAGCGGAGTGTAACGCACTTCACCACCACACCATCCGGGTCCTTCGTTTTGCCTGTCTCTCAGCTAAAAAGAAAAATGCAGTAATTAAAAGGGTTAAGATTGTGATTATAACTAAGCCTCAGTTTAACTGGGTTCAATGCCGATTTGGGCACCCCAGATCAATTCCGTCGACGGGTGATTGCTGATGACAAAAGATCAATAGAACTAGTTGAGCGACAGGCAAAACGATTAACCCGGATGGTGTGGTGATGAAGTGCGCTACTCCCAGGTGAGGGCAATAACGCGTGTTCGTTCCCCACCGCATACACCTGCGGTTCGGAGTTTTGCAAATATCTCAGCATTATATACGAGTTATATTTCGCAGCATACCCTGCCATTAAAAAGAAAAGGAAGTAAATAAAAGGGTTAAAACAACGTTTTTCTTTGTACACTCGTTTGTTTACTTGAGGAAACATTTCGTTTTAGGCACACAGCGATGAAATGCATAGTAGATCCGTTTCGATGCTCAGTACTTGTTGAGAATTCTCTAGTAAGCCGCATACCGAGATTTCTAGAAAGTCGGTGTTTTAAGTTATCTCAGCATCAATGTAGTTACATTTCAAACAATACCCTGCCGTGACCAAAAATGGGCAGTAAATAAAAAGTTCCTACAGTGTCATAATTTTTTATAGAAGCGCTGCGGCTGTAGGTTTACCACCTTCTCGCGGTTATGGGATGTTTCTGGGTGTCGGAAGCAAATGCTTTAGTGGATACATCTTACTGAGCTGTTTGCCGTGACTTTAGTTCTATTTACTGCCCATTCTTTTATTATGGCATGGTGACTCTATTTACTGACTATTCTTAATATGGCATGGTGTGAAGTTAAACACAACTAAAAGGTTGCAGAGACGCGAGCAAATCTTCGAGCCTCAGATGGGCTTCAAGCACGCAGTTACCCTTCATGAGGACTCATGTGCCGTTAATGCTTTCACTTTTTCTGTTTTTTCGTTGTGCTAATATAGTTGACGGAAAGCGAAGCAAGGACCTCAGTTTGTGTGGTAGATAGCAAGTGAGCTTCTGGTAAAGGTAATCACGTATTCCTGGCTCAGCTGATGCGCCAAGTTTTGCTCATATATAGGCATCTCCATGGTTCCTTGCTACATAATTAGACCAATCAAATTTCGGATCAACCACTAAATCAATTTACTGGCTCTTACTAGAGACACTCGGTGAACAGCGGGACTACAAATGATGTAGGTGATAGGCGAGCTTACGTCGTTCTCAACAGGTGTGAACATGAGTTTTCCAACAGTAATTTCCTACTGAATTTCTGTTAAAAAAATACTCAATGTGTTCTAAATGCCTTTTCCCAATCAGGCATATTGAATATTGAGAATTACTTAAATTGTACTGCAAACAGATCTACTACAGAAGTGCACAATTTGCAGTTACAGAAGTTCTCGTACCGATTCAGTGCCAAATCGAATGGTTCACCGTAGTCATATATCCGATTAAACACCCATGTTCCACGACGTGTAGAAAGATAAGTCTGAAAATAGGTACAGTTCTACACTTGGAAATCGAAAAATAGCGCCCATTCAGGAAGTCCCAAAAATCTGAAACCTGTTCGACGTTTTCATAATTGAGCCTTTACATCTTTTAATTAGTCTACTTTGTGAGAAAAATGTGCTCATTTTGTCAAGCCCGTAACATTTTCCACACTCAGATTCATTTGCTCCGAATTTCGCAACTTTTCTCAAAGAAATTATTCGTCACAAGTATATTGACGTGGTAATCAACAAGATGGGATGATCATTACGTGAACTGTCCTGGTTAGTCAACAAACTTCTTTGGATTATTCACCTTACAAGAGGTTGTTATATAACTTTTACTAGGCTTACGCTTCGACGTCCCCATTTTCCTCAGATCCGATATCTATTGATTTACTGATTATCTAGGCAAAGATTAAAAGTAATTCAGTTTAGTACAGGGCCCTGGTTAAGCTACTGTCATTTATAGATTCACTAATATTTAGATTCATCTACCTCACCTGTTTGGCGACTCTACTCAACTCCACTGCTAAATCACCGCCTGAATTTCCGATACCAACGATCACGACTATTTTATCTTCATAACCTTAAACAGTTCGTATCTCAATGTTTGTAGTAATGATGAATAAATAAGGTAAAGGCATAGATGAACATGATAAGACAACCACAACGTTGCTGAGATATTTGCAAAACTCTGGACCGCAGGTGTCTATGGTGAGGAACGAACGCGCTATTGCTCTTTCCGGGGAGTAACGCGTTCACCACACCATGCGGGTCCTTTGTTTTTCCTGTCTCTCAGCTATTTCTGTCGATCTTTGCCACAGCAATCACCCGTCAGCGGGATTGATCTAGGGCTCCCAAATCGGCATAGAAGCCAGTTAATCTGCGGCTGTAGTTGAAACCACAATGTTATACCTTTTTATTTTCTTCCTACTATAATTTCGCGGCAGGGTACTAAGCGCAATACAACCTGCGGTCCAGAGTTTTGCAAATATCTCAGCAACGTTGTGGTTGTATTACGCTTAGTACCCTGCCGCGAAGTTATAGTAGGCAGAAAATAAAAAGGTATAAGATCATGGTAAGGTTTATTTGCAATAAATGACTTCGCAGTTTTCAGTTTTAAACGAATGACACAGTTATTAATATGTCAGGCTTAGGTAATAAATAGATTAATGGCGACGGCTTGTTTTTTCTGTAAATATTGAGAAAAGGGAAGCGCTGTGAAAACGTGAACGCCAGGAAAATTTTCGACTTTTTAACTGGACTTCACAAACGCATCTTATGTGGGGTAACGCAACGAATATAGGTGCTCTGCAGTAAAACTTCTTTGCTTTAATTCACCGTGCCAGGCTCACCACGCCTTCTTCCTGTTTGGGGTTGCCAAGTTGGCGCTAGACTTGTTTGGGGGACAGCACCATTGAATTGATATCGTAAACTGCCGCAAGCCACTATATTGGCCAAGTGTGCATTCAACCAGCTTTACAACTTTACGAATGAAGTCGAATGCATGGTAGTTCCCTCAGGAATTGTCAAACACCGAGTTTTTTATTATTCCTTATTCTTGGCCGAAAGTGAGCAGTGGTAGCCGAATTTAGCGGCAGGGGCTGATGCAACTGGTCAACGGTTCAGGTCGAGGAGTCGGGATAATTTTGCTTTTGTTCGTGATAGCATAAGAACATGTGTAAGTTTAATACAGAACATAAAAATAACGAATATTCGTCTGTATGTCACGAACCATAAAATGTCAAGTCTGGCAATTTTTTTAAGTCACTGTCCTCTTGATAAGCACACACGAGATTTCTGTTATACATATCGTAAACTCTATAACAGCTGGCTTTCCCGCGAATTTCGCTTTGTTCAGTGCCAGAGAAGATCAAGTTGACAGCGCATTGGTCGGCCAAATCCTTCACTAACCTAACAGAAAGCTCCGAAAACTAAACTTTAATCGCAATTGAAAGACCTTTAAAAAATAATTTTATTCCTCATAAGTTTTCCAATTATTAATGAATACCAACCCCACAGAATTTAGATGGGTGAAGGATGTGTCCGGTTAGGGTCAAAATGGCAGGTTGAGGTATGGCGCAAGGTCCGGTATGATTATAAGGCACTCTTCCTTGTGATTGATGTTTGTATTTTTAGAGTTTATCAAGAACGGTTCTAGACTTTCACTCACAGATATTTTTGATTCCCGTGCCAGAGTAGTAAATTCCATTTCAAAATATTCACCGTCATGTCTCTCGTTAATATGCGCTCCTGGTGAAGTATCTGGTTTTAGTTAAAGTCAGCCACTAGATGTTTTGTCAAAAGAAGATGCACAATTGTGTTAAGTTGCTGAACGAACATTTAGGTGCGTGCAGTGCAGTGGTCAAAGGCGCCCTGCCATACACACGAGATCCAACCTCGCGCCTAGGCTCACCAAGCTTTTCTTCTCCCCGTGTTCGACGAATAGTATCAGACTTGCCTTGGGGAATACCAGCACTGCCTCGATACATCATCAGTAGTTCACCAGGAGTCATTGCAAAAACCAGAAATGCATTCAATCACTTCTAATGATGCTTAATAAAGTCGAGTGCACGGCGCATCCTTCAGCGATTGATCAATGTCGCGAGCTTTCTCATTTTCATCCTACAGCCAAACTGTAGCTCCTTACGATAAATGTGAAAGAAGAACCACGCACCCAAACGATGTATTTAGCGAGAATCTCGTTTATCGCGCCTTTCATTTACAACGAAACACAGCTGTAAAACGCTGCTTTTTTCGGTTTTTCGGTTTCGGTTTTTCCTTTTTATTAGCTCTAACTGAGCAGTGCCATTCACCTTTGTGACTTCTGTAACTGTGCGAATGAATGATCCGCCCCTTAAATCGCTCCTGATTAGGCCATGGTGATGGTAAACGCGGAATAGCATGATGACCACAGCACAACAACACTCCGTCGAACACCTCGGAAGAATGGTTGCCGAATCTAGAACGGTGAAAAGAAGGTACAATTTTCATATAAGAGCCTTTACTAACGAAACAGACTCCTTATTACTATACGCTGACTTGTAAAATTGATGTATTTGTATTCAAAGGGGCTAGCGCCATACGTACATCTACTTGCCTAGAAGACAAACTGCGCCCTCTTCATTATTTGCATAAATTCAACGATTAAATTTCACTCACTCGTCCTCGTATTTGACTGTCCACTGTCCTGACTCTAAATAATCATTGCTTCGAGATATTTGAATGACCTTATGATTGAATTTGATGCACTTCTTCAGTTCAAAATGATCAGCATACAAATGAAGGTATCTGTAAGAAAAACACTAGTAAACTTTTTTATGAAGTTGAACTGCTCTAATTAATGTATCCCTACATAATATACTTCAAGGCACAAAACGACTGGCTCATTATTTGGCCTCGCCACGGCGACAATTTTCACAAATGAAAAGCGACCTCACCGATACATTTCCGTGTTGTGCATAAAATTCGCCATTCCTGCTTCTGGCGGGAAGTCCGAATATGCTGTCATCTCTTTTGATGTGTTGATAACAGTTGATTTCATAACACACGAATCTTTAAATATCTTCTAGTTGGTCTAAAAGAAGTGTTTTTCAATGTTTTCAATTTGCCTAATTACACGTAGAAATGCTAAAACTGTTATTATTGTTTCATTATATTGTGCTCGCCCCAGCACTTTTTTCCTCGGTCTCGTTGTTTAACACCCGTCATCCATGGTGGACCTCGGGTTTAGGGAGTAGAACTGGCTACTGCTTGCGGAGTTCGGTTTTTTCAGTGAAAATCATTGAATTCTGGTTGAGTGATTCTCATCAGAATCGTGGGGTAGCTCAACTAAAAGGTTTCCAGAAATTCGACAGATACATTCACATTCTTCTGCAAAAAGAAAGAAGATTTTTTTTTAAAAAGTCTGATAGTAATTTGCCAAATCCCAGTATATTCTAGGCCTGGTCAACCAGGCGTCGAGTCTGCAACCACGCGTTTATTACAAGTTTTACTCAATCACAACACTTCGAAATAGTTTCTTTGATCTTCCAATCAAAGAAAAATCAGTGACAAGATTAACCTAGAAAAAAATAAATAGAACAACCGAGTAAGTATTTTGCTTACCAACAAAGCGTCTACCTAAAAAACACGCCGGAGCCAAACGAAGACACCTGGTCGTTACAAGCAGGGGCACTCACTTATTGTTTGTCCATATTATTTAACGAAAGACTGCGTTCCATTTCAACCAGTAAGCGACGATCTTTTCAGTTCCTCTATCCATCTACGAAAATCCAGCTTTAAGCATTACTGCGCATAGACCGATATGACAATACGTGCTACTGGTCATGCGTATTACGAAAGAGGGCAATCAATGGAGTGAGTGCGACTGACATGGTGGAATACTTTGCATGATGTATTATGTGATGACCGTGCAGACGATGAAGCGAAAGTTATGTGCTGGTAGATGAGATCTAGTAAATTCATGTGTACTTCAACAATGATTTGTATTTCGCATAATACCTTACTGTGAAAATCGTAGAAGGCAGCAAAATAAAAATTGACGCTATTATTTATAACTCGTATGAAGTGCTGAGATATTTGCAAAACTCCGGACCACAGGTGTATGCAGTGGGGAACGAACACGCGCTGTTGTCCTTACCGGGGAGCAGCGCACTTCACCACTACACCATCCGAGCTATTATTTATTTTACTATTTATTTAAATACATGATGAATAATGCTAATAGTCGAGAATTCTCTCCATGTTTCGCCATGTAGGTTCAGCGAAACGGTCGTGATATCATAGGACGCTTTCCTACTGAGTTCATTGACCGGTGATCTAAATTACCAACAACTTTAATTGCAATTCCAATCGTTATGATGAACCGTAGCTATCGAGTTGGACGTGTGGATATATGGAGCGCAGAAATAAATTCGACATACGCTACAAGATGCTGAGAGTACTGTGCTTATGCTGTGGATCACAATAACATGTGGTAAATTGGAGCATCTAGACTATCTCTACCTATAGAGCAATACAGTAAACCTCATCTACAATTCCATGATGCCCTCCTACTCCAAAGCTTTCTGGTAATCAGAAAATTCGAAAAAAAATCGCAAATTCGGAAAGAATTAGCAAGGATCTAGCCGATGTGAAGTTACGCGTCGGCAACAATGAATTGATAGCTAAAATATGTTGCGACATACATTCACTACAGTATTTTGCTGTAGAATTTCTTCATAGATAATAATCCTTACGCCCTCTGACAAGAATTCTTATTGAGGACGGAACGATTATACACATGGACGATTAGAAATTTCAGATTTCCACTAAAATCACTGCAATAATTTTCATCAATATCTGTTCGTTATTTCTTGATCTATGAAGAATGCACATTCTTATCCATATAACTATTCTTACAGTCTGTTTCCTCCTCTCTGTATCTCCACAGACCACCGATGTGCGATGACGCTTCAAAACATGTGACGTCTATACCATAGAGAATTCCATGTCTGAAATAGTAGTTATAGACATCGTACCATTTATGAAAAAATTTTTGAAGAGCTAAACTATTTTGGATATCGCAGGGCCGACTTCCTATTGTTCTGTGCACAAATCAATATGCACTACTTTCTCAATGAACAGATTCGAAGTTTTTATCAGATCGTTCCTCCCAACGGTTTACCGCCTCATCGTGGCTGGGAGGTGTTACTGGGTGTCGGACTGCGACGTACAGCGGGAGATTCATCCTTTGGCAGAGTTTCCCAAGCTGAGAAGTCCGGCGCTTCCATCAAGAAGCCTAGCTAAGAGTGAACCAATATCAGGATCCATCACCGTCCTGGTATCAAAGTCGCATGGTGATAAATCTTCTTCAGACCTACGAGGGCTGCGACTGCCTGTGGTGGTGAAGACCTGGGGCAGACTTTGGCTGGGCTGGCCTCGGAATTGCACGGACCATAACGGCTTAGCAAGCAAGTCTCCGAAAAATGGAGATTATGCTAGGCCCGCACAACAAGTGAGGACGGGCCATTCAAGTATCAAGTAAGTAACAAGTATTCTCACTAGACCTATCATTTTGGGGCGCGGCTTTACTTCTAAGACTGCCTTGAACATATACAGTTTCGCAGCCATTATTTTTTGCTCCAGGTCTAGGTAATTTTGCTTCTGCACTCCTCTTGAGGGTATTGTATATACTAGCGTCCGTGCGAAACGTGTTTCTCACAAGCGCGCTGTTTATTTATGAGAGGTGAGTGAAAAGGTGATAAATCAGAACATTTTTGCTAGTTGACTTTCGGTACCATTTGGTGGTGTGGCTGTTTTTGGAGAAACTGATTCGAACGCTCATGAACGGAAGCCAGTCATTCTTCGATCGCCAATGGGTAAAATTTATGTCCTCTTATTGTTGGCTTGACAATTCAAAATATTTGTCTACCTCCACCTGTACGCCAAACAGTCGAAGATAAGGTGGGCCGGACACGTAAAGCGTATGAATGACAACCGATGGACAAGAGCCGTTAGTGACTGGATTCCTCGGGATGTCAAACGCACTGCAAGAAGACCACCGACCCGATGGTCAGAGTTCTTCACAAAGAGCATTGAAAAAAAGACATGATGCTCGACGAGTCTCTAGAGCGAGCAGAACCCACTGGGCTACTCTTTCACGCCACAGGGAAGAATGGAAGATTTAATGGCGCCTGCTCGAGTCACTCGACGATCAACGGGACTACAGGTAGTACAGGTGACCTCCACCTGTGTTGAGAAGATGATAAAAGGATTATCGATATGCATGCAGTATAGTATTTGGCGGAGACCGTGTGAGAATGAACGCAACGGCAAGACTTGGTGCCAATCGCTTTCCTATTGCCAACACTCTCATTTGTGTGGAATACTTCTTGAGCCATCTAAAGGTTGAGCAGCTTAGGACTTTTCTAAGATTTTTGCATGTTTATTGTTTCTACGTGTTACATAATGTGTTCGAGTATGGCTAGCATTGCGGAGTAATTTGACACATTATTTTAATATAAGGTGCAGCAACGTCGAAGGACTGCATAACGTGCGCAACGTTGAAGATCTAGGAACACCTGGCTGCTCATGAGATAGGTTGGGATGTATTTCACCATCTGGAAGAATATTAAGTTAATAAACTAAGCTATTTTATTCGCAGGTTTATTTTAACAGCTGATGCTGGAACTAACCTTGAACGATGAGGGGTTAGTAAACAATATCAGTGAATGCCAACTTTCTGAACATGGTTAGCTACGTAATTGCGCGCCTTCAGCACTAATCGGTAGTCTAAGTAGGTTTTTGATTTTACTAGCTCTCGGACGTGTCGTGTGCCAAATATTTGCGCTACTGTGTCGTTGTGGCTGAAGTTTTTTCGTGTAAAACCTGGTTGGCTAAAAATTTGTTAACACCTGGTTGGGAACCTGAAATCGAACGCACCACTAGGCACGCATGGGACGCGATAACTGAGAAGATTTTAAAGCAGAAGTGACTATCCTCGCATAGAAATCTACAACACGAGGGCGTAAAAGTCTGGATGCGTCTTGGATAATTTCCAAAGATCCAGAAGCGTTGCCACAGGCCCATTTTTTAAACCGAATAACGCACATTCCCAACCAATACAAGACTCCTTTCTGCTGATCTTCTCAAATGACTAGAAAACTTGCGAGGAACAAAACGGTGGTATTCGAACGCAACTGTTTAAAATTTAGGAATTGAGCAGACTTTATGACAATTTGATCTTTTCAGGCTCTGAAAGAGACGAAACAGAAGAAAAATAAGCTATTTAAATAAATAATATACCAATAACCTAGTATCTGCTCATTAACCAGAAAAACAATGAATTGTTTTGGCTATCTAGTTACTTGGATACTGCCTCCTCACGAAAATCCAATACAACAACATTTTTTTAAGAGGTGAGTAAAACTCGGAATCTCAGGTGAGCTTCGAACCAATGATTACTATTTCTGGGTCCTCGCGAGCTATCCATGGGCAACCGAGGCCCTTTTTTGCCCCTCACCGTTTCGAGTTCCCGGTAAAGGTAATCGCTGGTTTAAAGCTCACCTGTGGTTTCGAGTTCTGCTCATGTATTATTATAGTGGTTGCATTTCATGTAATAGCCTGCCATGAAAAAATGATTGTCAGGAATTAAAAATTAGACATTGTGACTGCCACGACCGACTTTCTATTAACCTCGGCATTGATCAAGTGATTTTGTTCGTATTTTTTTGAGCAAACGCGAGGTGTTATTGTTCTTTGTTCACGATTAAGCTGACGTTTCGGCGAATTTCGCCTTCTTCAGAGCCTGGAAAGGTCAAGTTGATAGCAACTCACTCGGCCAGACGCCTCCATAACCAAACAAAGAAACCCCAAACCAAGATTTCAATCACCTTGAACACAGCTTTGCACACTCACCGCTTTCTATGAGGTCTCCACTAAGTATGTCACGTAGAGACCAACCGCACAGAAATCACGTGGTATGTGTACACAGTATGTGTCACGATCCTCGCACGCGAATCGAGAACACAGGCGCGAAAAACCCTCGAGGCACTCTGGATTAATTCCAGAAATCCGAAAATGAACCGCAGGGAAGAATGCCTCATTATCACGCGTGATATAGGGCAGTATATAAAACTGCTTTTCTGATGTGAGGGGCACATTATACTTCCACGTGATTTCTGTGCGGTTGGTCTCTACGTGACATACTTAGTGGAGACCTCATAGAAAGCGGTGAGTGTGCAAAGCTGTGTTCAAGGTGATTGAAATCTTGGTTTGGGGTTTCTTTGTTTGGTTATGGAGGCGTCTGGCCAAGTGAGTTGCTATCAACTTGACCTTTCCAGGCTCTGAAGAAGGCGAAATTCGCCGAAACGTCAGCTTAATCGTGAACAAAGAACAATAACACCTCGCGTTTGCTCAAAAAATACGAACAAAATCACTTAGACATTGTGATTTCGACTACGACTTCCGTTCAACTGGGTTAAATACCGATTCGTGGTCCAACCATCATTCCCCTCTGCTGCTGATTGCTGATAGCATCGTTAGTTTAAAAAGTGGCTGTTTGAAAGGCAAAGCATGAACCTCAGTGGTGCAGTGGATAGCACACTAGCATGCAGAAAAGGTAATCGTGAATTCGAAGCTCACATAGTGTCCCAAGTTTTGTTTTTATCTCATCTATCTTTATCTTTCTATCTTTGTAGTTTCATTTCACATAATATTCTCCTGTGAAAAAATAATGGGCAGTGAATAAAAATTCAACACCTCCTTGGATTATTAAGCTAACACGAGATTGGCAGAGATGTTTATTGTGGTAACTCTTCAAGCTGGTCTTCACCTTTATCAGAACCGATGATACGAATCAATGGTCCACAGCCTTTCGCCTTCTCGATGTGGCGTCTTCGTCTTCGTGTCGAGTCGGATCTTCTCCAGTGGGGCACGCACGAATGAGACAACTAAAGAGCGCTACTGTGATATCGTCTCATCTGAGTGGTACTCCACTGAAGATCGGACCAGATACGAAGACGAAGGTACCATATCGAGAAGAATGAGGACTGTGGACCATCAACTGGGTCACTGGTTCTGATGAAGACAAAGGTGTGGAAACGTTGCCCGAATTAACATCTTTATTAACCTCGTGTTAGCTTAACAATCGAAGAAAGAGATAGATTTTTACTATCGAGGGTAAATGTTTGAAAAAATTCTAACATTTTTCTGTTTAACTCGTGATCGCTGACCACGGTGGTCGTCTGTTTCGTAGATTGCCAGTACTATTCCTTAATTTTCACTATGAGCCACAAAAATGTTTTCTCTTTGTGTACGATATTGATCTAGAAGATATCTACATATGTTTAGTGTGCATTTTACCGCTTTTTTTGTCTGTCCCTTCTCAGTCGTTTTCATTACTGATAGATCAATCCACTGCACAATATTTCGAATGATTGGACAGCGTAATGTATGTAGCTTAGCGATCGGAAGATGTAGTTCACTTGGTCAACCCACGAGTCTGTTCCTTGGCAGTACGTGATAGAACTACTTAGTTAGAAAGCTTAGTGCTAAATTTTAGCCCATGTCTAAGACGAGCGATCACTGCCTGTGGTACTTGACCTCAGCATAGTTCTCGGTTCACCTTGTTTTCTAAGTTCAAGAAGCATGCTAAATGCGCCTATGAGGGACGATTGGAATCAAGGAGCCATTATCGCACCAATAGTTTTTCATTAAGTGACCGTCTTTTCCGATTGGCTTCGCTGATGTTTCTCAAAGAGAAGATGATATCATAGGGAAAGCAAAGATTTGTAAATAAATCGCTGTCACTACGAAGACCACTTTGGTCCAGCTTAAGCGACTTCATCGGTCAGTGCAATGCAAGGCAAACAACGTCGACAAGAGCTTGTAGCAATGTCGATCTTTACTCTCAGTGGAGATTGAGAAAATTCTATTTTAAAAAGATGTTGGAAGAGCTGTTTTTCACAGTGCTGATGGGAAAGCAATTGGCCATAGTTCTTCTGTAGGTTGGATTCACTACTTCGACGATAACTGTTTAAAGGATTGAATCTATTTCGGTGT